TATTTAGCAAGAAAGAACTGCCTACAGTGCTTCGTGTTTTTCATATATACTGCAGCTACCTGATCCTAAATAATACAACTGAAAATAACTTTCTTTTCTAATATAGTGTGGCCTTTGGCATTCTCTATGCCTGAACTATTCAACAACACTTTGTTGAAGCAAGAGCTTGCAGAGGGTCTACAGGATGAACCTGGGCAAAGCGCAGTATGGGTGGACTCTTCACAGGCTGCAGGATAGCTGCAAACCTCAACCTGCCAAACCTGCCCTTGTCAGAAGTTTAGTCATCCTCCTAAGTCCTTTTATTGACTGTTTGGTGTTTAACTCTGTTTTTAAGGAATTCCTAATGGGTGAAAGATCAAATGTGTTAGTGGCTCTCCATTGTTTTTTCAGAGGTAGGAGATAAAGCYACAAGTGTGTAAACAGCAAAGAGGCCGCTTAGCCCAAGGCTAGGCTGACTTGGGGGATCTGTCTGCAAAAGCCCAGGCCTTCCCACAAGGTCAGGAGACTGTTGCTATGGGAATCGCTGTGCCCGGCMCGGCCTCATCCATGCGCTAGCTGAGCTGGGGCCTTGTAGGGAAAACTGAAGCCTAGGAGAAACTTTGATTGGTGGGCGAGGGTCGGGTGAAAAAGCAAGTTGTCCTTCCCTTTGGTGGTTCACTGGCCCAACCCAAGTATAATTGTGCTTGTAAAAATGAAGGACAAAATAATCAGGAGCATCTGGCCAAAGCAGAGCTCAGTCACCTCACTGAAAACCTAGGACAAATCTTCACTGGCCTTTCCAGAGTGGGTGGGAGCCTAGGCCAGTTGAGTTTCTGTTGGTCCTGTCAGCTGTGGCTGTTGTTTTGCTGCTTGACTAGCTCAGCAAGTTCCCATCCTCAGAGCAACGAAGCCTCAGAGCAGTCCCTGTCACGGTGCAAACCTCGGGCAGCAGCACCGATTACTCCCTTATCAATGTAATGCCTTTGACTGAAATCTGTCTTTTTTTTCCTCTCTCTCTCTCTCCTCCCTTTTCTCCTCTCTTCCTTGTGGRACATAAGAGACAAGGGCTCGGCGCAGGCCAGAGCGCTCTCGTGCGCACAAGAGGCCGATTGTCGGGGAACAGGGTGTCATTGAGCGCTGCGCGGGCCCAGGACAGCGGCGGCAGCATGAATGTACAAAAGTGCCCACTGTTAAGGCCACAGTGCCAGGAGTTTGAATTCAAGTCTCGCTCCCGTTTGGGGGTCACATTTGTAGAGAGAACACGCACAAAAGGGTCTCAGTGTTTTATGGAGATTTCATGTGTTCCTTCTCGCTGTGGATCAGAGCTGAGTGTGAGGCAGGCTGCCTTGCTGTGTGAAGCAAGAACACTGTAGAATACTATAGGTTTCTTTTTTCCTTTTTTTTTTTTTTTTTTTTTTTTTTTTTTTTTTTTTAGTAAATAGAGTAGCCTGTCATATCTAGGCTCTGTTTTTCTGATTGGGAGCTCAGCCCTTGGCTGGAGACACTGTTGTGTTTGGATCTCTGCCTTGAGCAGGACAGCTCAGATGTGGGGAGGAAGGGGAGGACCCATGCTAAAAATAAAGTAAAACAAAGTGCTGTTCATTGCTATGGAGGGGATAGTGCTTTCCTAGATGCCCTTGCCTTTGCAGGCAATGTAGACTGTCAGGGTTGCCTTAATGTCTGAAAGGGTCATACGTGGTGCTGCCGTCCCAGCGCTTTGCTCGGCGCCCTGATAGCGTTTGCTCATGCTAGTTGCAAGAACAGCACGAGGAAGGGCCCTGCTTGCCATGGCCTGCCGGGCAAAGACCTCCTGCACTGACCCTCCTCCACACCTGGGCATAAAAGGAAATGTGAAGGCCACTCATTTAACACAGTGAATGAAATGCAGTTTCATGCACATCAGAGCTCAGCACATGTTGGGTCATTTTTATGAACAATAAAAAATATCCCCCGTTATATCAGTTGAACTGCAGTCTAGACACTAGGCAGGTACCCATGCTGATGGCTTAGAAGAAAATTGTTTTTGCCTAGGAGGTTTTCTCGTTGTCCACTTTGGGGTTTCTAGTGCCTGCCCATGAAGTGTCTGCTGTGAAGTCCTGCTAGTGGTGGGYCCTCAGCTAAAGCTTAGGGTTGACTCAGTGCAAGAATCATCCTCTTTCTAGAAAGAGAGAGCTAGCAGGTAAAAATGTTCATACATTCAAATATTTTCAGTGAAAATCACTCAGCCAGGGTTATCTCTGACCAATATATCAATAACCACCATCCTGTGGATTAGCGGTGATCAGAGGAGCATCCCCTGCCAGCCCAGTCATGTTTCTCTTGTACTGATAAAACATTCATGCAAATTTACAAGTTCAAAGAAATGGATAAAGAGTTTCTTTTGGAGATATATTTCCTGTGTGGCCTGTGTGAATATTTTATATTTGGCATCAAGACTGTTAGATGTTCAATTTCTGGAAATAGTTGAAGAAGTGCTTTTGAGTTAAAAATGCATCAGAACTTTAAGCTTGGGGATTATTGTCCCTGTAACGAGGTGTGGCAAACTTTCAGATATTTTAGAGATCTATTAATAATAAGTCTTTTCTATATGAGCAAAACATACACCACAGATTGTCCTTGAGGTCTTCTCCCAACATGTACTGCTTGAGTCTCTGGGGTGGCCTCAGGCAATTCCCTTGTGCCCAGCCTACAGGTCATTGCTGCTGCCCTGGGGCCAGGTGCAGTTGTTTTCTTTTCATAGCTGAAATTCAGCTCAAGTACCTTGCTGTAAAGCCCTCCTTCACACCTTGTGCACTCAGAACCGCACAGGATGATTTCTTGCGTAAGCTCTTGATTTAATAGCAGATGCAACCTCTTCTTACAGCTCTTGTCTCATTTAGTGGAGAAACCCCAACATTACCTTTACTGTCAAAGGCATAGGTGAAGGGTGAGATTCATCTAGGAAATGGACAGAGGAAAACAACCCCTGGAGCAACCCCTGGCAATAAAGGCACTGGGTTGGCTTCTTCCTGGGGTATTTCATGTGTCTTGACTTAGTAAACTTTAAACCACTTTCCTTCCCTCTGCTGCTGTGCATTTTCCGTGGGACAGTTGTAGTCCAGAGCTGGTCAATGTAGCTATGAGACTAGGCTGAGGAAGCAGCTGGAAACCTCCTTTCTGGCCAGGTGTGGCATGGGGCAGCACAGCTTCAATTCCCCACAACAATCCTGTGTTGGTGAYAGCTGTTGCAACCTGGAGACACGACGGGAGTTCATCTGGCTCCCTGGACTTGATAATGGCAAACAGCTGATGGTCAGATGTGCCTGGCACCTGCAAGCCGCAATTCTGCTTTGTCATCCGTCTTGGAAGGAATCAAATTGAATTTCTTCCTCTGGTTTTATCCGGAATGCCATTATAGAAGGTGATTAAGGTTTGTTTTTAACAGGCAGCTACAGAAGTATCACTTTCATTACGCAAAATGTGTGATGAATCTCAAGGGTGCTTCAAATCAGTTGTTTGCCATGTTTGATTTGTGTGGCATAGTGCATGCAATAGTATTCTGACAAATTACATTACGTATGACTTTCATTTTTGTTATGGAAACAGGAATGAGGGCTTTTTTGTAATGGAACAGCAGCAATTTCTCATGTCCTGCACTGTGCAATGTTGAAACCAATTATCTCATCAGTAAAAGCATGGCAAATAGTTTCACTTGTTGCAGTGACTGTTGAGAAGACATGGCTGCTGTTGCYGAGTTGCTGAAAATGCATAACCTCCATTAACACGTAATTTAGCAAATGTCTGAAGAATGTGTTTAAAAGGATCTTGTATTCCTCAAGAAACTGCTGTGTAACTGACACCCACCAAGGGTGGTAGAGAAGTGTTAGCATTTCTCTGGTTGTGGCTTAAATGCTGCTTTCAAAATGAAAATCTGAATTTGCTGCTGTTGATTGATAGAGATTAGAGGTCTGTATTGTCGTAAATGTRAGTGAGATTTGGCTTAGCAACTGTGAAAACATATCTGAAAATAGAGAGAAATCAAGATAAACAAGAGGATCTACAAGGAGCTTTTTAATCCTACCATGAGCAGAAAGATGAGGTTTTCTTGGTTAGTGCAAGCAGCCCTGCCCCAAGGCAGGGGCCAGCAGTAGGGGCTGCTGGAGRACACCAGAGCTGTGTTGGTGGAAGTGTTTTGCAGACCAGTGTTGGGTGCTGGTTGGGCATGTTCCGTGGGGTCCCAGCCTGTGTTCTTCTGGCAGCTGGTGACCTGTGGCATCTGCTCTTTGCCTGATTGCCAGGGCAGCTGCTATAGCCCTGTGCACTATAGCCCTTCGCCCTGTGACACAGCCCGGGGATGGGAAATGTGAATCTGGGGCTCATGGTCCCCCCAGGGCTTTTGTCCAGCTGAGCCCACTGCCTCTAAAGGCAACCCCTCTCGCCTCTGCACTCTTCAGACTGTGTTTTACAGCAGTTGCATGATAAAAGTCTGTACCAGAACTGACCCAAATTGAAGTTATGACTTGTCTTCAGCCTCTCTGAGTGGCCATAGTCCTGCCAGGTTTGCTGCGAAGCTCTTCATTGCATTCAGTTCTAAGAAGCTTCAAAAGATGGAGAAGMCGCCAGCAAGCAGGTCACCCTTGAGCCCTGTTGTTTAGAGCCCATGGTCCTCTGAGGATGAGTTTTGAAGTCCTGCTCTGACACTTGATTGAGTTTTTCACCCGAGCAGCTTGAACCTGGCTTGGACAGAGGGGTTTTACGTTCATGTGACTGAAAGGAAAAAKGGGCTTTCTGAAGTCCGAAACATTATTTTTAAATGTGATTAAGAGCTGAGCTTTGTTTTAGTAGTAAAATTTAATGAAAGGCAGTGAGGGAGGTGTTCTAGGGCTCCTGCTGGCCTTCGTTGTACTTTACAAAGTTCTTAAATGAGCCCTTCTTTTGCTGTGCTGCAATTCAGCAAACCCTCAACTCACCCTTTCTGTCTCCTGCAGCTTGCTGCACACTGACAGTCGGCATGCGGCAGAACCAGATGTGAGAAAAGACTGCAGGAGACTTCAGAAGAAACAAAAACAAGGATGTTGTACCCTGTGGTAACCAGACAACAGGTAAACACGGACACCAACTGAAGCCCCAAAATTCTACCGGAACTTAAGGAAAAAAATCTTGACAGTGAGGGTGCCAGAGCCCTGGAACAGGCTGCCCAGGGAGGTTGTGGAGTCTCCTTCTCTGGAGATCTTTAGAACCCGCTTGGACGCAGCCCTGTGCCATGTGCTCTAGGTGACCGTGTGTGAGCAGGGGGGTTGGACTAGATGACCTCTGAGGTCCCTTCCAACCTTAAGGATTCTATAATTCTAATAGTGATCACAAAGTCACAGGTTCCTGAGGCTTGCACTAACTTGCTATTCTCTGGATATACAAAATAGAGCTAATTTACACCAGGGACTAAGTTCTGTTTCACTGAGTCCAATTTCAAAGTTTCCATTTGCCTGCAGATTCAGTGTCTTGGATTCATAAATTATTTACTCAAGGAAGGGGAAACCAGCTAACTTATATTGAGGTACGCTTTATTTTATTCATTTTTTTCAAAATACTCTGATATTTTACTGTTGCACTTGAAATGCTGATGCTACTGGTTAGATTATGTGGGGATAGTGCTGCTATWATACACTAGTGTACTGTGGGCTGAAATCAGGCTTGATGCACGTTGCTGCTATTGACATTTTGATATTGCTTATTGCAGTAATAGATCTGAGCTCTTTAATTTCGTAAGCGGTGGCAGAAGTGGGTATAGGAAGCTGGCAGACAGCTATGTGGCTGACAAATATAAATCCTTCTCRTGACCTCAATGGAGATGAAACACTTGATCAGCCAAAACTGGCCCTTCTGGCCCAGGAGGGGAAACCAGACCTGCAGCCTGGTTGCTCACACCCAGCCCCAGGGCCTCCAGGAGCCTTGCTGCTTTGGACTGAAAAGCTTATTGCTCCCGTGACCCTTGGTGTGGTACCATGATGTTGGAATTGGCAGCAGTAACAAGGAAGGGTGTCACACTGTTAGCCAGGATTAGCCTTGTATCTCATCAGCTTCTTTCTTAACAGACGGTCCTCTCACTGCTTACATGAGTTCATATATATATATGCATAGATTTTTTCATGCATATATAATTTACTTATATCTCATCAGCAACAATGTAGCTTCAGRTATTTCCTAAAAAAAGAAAACCTTTTTTAATGTCATTTTGCAATGCTGCCCTTCACGTAAGGTTAGAACATCACTCACACTGTGGTTTTGCAGTCCAGCGGTGACTCATGCAATTCCTGCTAGCTTAGCTAGGCTGGCTGATCCCAATGAAAATGCAAAATACTCTCTTGCAAGTAGGCTGCAACAAACACCAATACAATAATTACATAACTTGATGAAATCTACTATTATGTCTAGTTCCAATGTTGTAAAATACTATTCATGGCTTCACACAAGCCATTATGTTTTTATGGCACACCATGGCTTCATTTTCCTGTACACTTTATTCCATGAAAACTTCGTCTTGTTTTGCATCATCCTGAAAAATGATGCAGGATGGGCAGGGCTTTGCACATGCTTCCAAACTCTCTGTAACCCTGGGCTAAGTAGCAAATTTATCTCCTCCTTCCCCAAATTGGAACCATCCTGAAATAGTTGCTGGCTCCCAGCAGCTTCCAAACCTGCCTGTTGGGGCGTTTGCTTTGGGATAGCTGTGGAAACCAATGAATACGGCTGCAACTGACTTGTGAGTCAGAAAGAAACATTTGGTATGATAATAAAAATGGTTYTGACGGGGCACCTCAGAAGCAGCCAGCTCAGTAGCTGACTGGTCTTATTCTCACCAAGAGATGGCTACACATTTCTTTGGAAGTTGACTGGGAGGTTGACTRTAGTGATATTATTCCCTTCCTTCCTCGTGTAAAACTGACACAGAAATCAGAGAGCAAAGTAGCATATGCAAGTGTGGTGCTATTGATTACTTGATTACCTTTTACAGTGATTAAGATGGAGGGATAAATATTTAGCACAAGAAACTCCCTTTCCTTTTTAACTRTTCCCTGTATTAAACTCATTTCATTTATGTAATCTTCTCAGAAGGGACACACTTCTTATTTGGCCTCATTTTGAATCCTACTTTGCAAAGAATGGCTCTGCAGCTCTTTCCTAAGCAGATCAGCTTTTCTACTGAAACTATAATGATTTATCTTTCAAAAGTCACTGAGAGGAGGGGTAAAAAGGTTTTAAAAAAATATTCTAACTGAATTAATAGAAAGATTTATTTTTTACATTTGAAACGAAGTGTAGAAGTGTACACACCAAGTTGGCTATTTGCTGTTATGAATCTCCATCTAAGCAGGTTGCTATGTCCTAGTAAGGCTGCAAATAATATTAATAGAAAAAAGTATCCCTTCTCCTCCTGTATTTTGCTACCATTCTGAATTAGCGAACTYCAGAGCCACAGCTTGCAAAGCACCTGGGCAATAAATGTTGATGGTGCAAAGCTGTGAGGTCTGGTGGTTTAGAAAGGTTTGGCAAAGTGTTTGGGGAGTCTTTCAGCTTTTCAACCCACACTTTTTTCCTACCCTTAAAACTTCGTTATCTGTACCAGCTAGTGTGTGAGAGCACTGGCTCAGCAAACAATTCACCTTTATTCTGCAGAGTTCAGTCACATGAACCAGGTCCAGATCCGCTTTCCCGTTTCAAGCAGGCTTATTGCTACTGGTTTCCAAAAAGGAGGGGCATGATCAAGGCTATGCAGTCCAGTTGCCCAGCTGGATCCTCCATGCTTGCACTCTTCCCTTGTTTCAACTCTTCCCTTAGTGTTGACCTACCATCACTGCTACCTACAAAGAATTTTGGTTGATAGTTATGCAAAATATACTGTTTAATGTGCCTTTTATGGGTTCCTGAAACAAGCAAATGAACCTCTARGTAAGGGCCTGAAGTTTCTATGCTTTATCACAATTCATTGGCAGAGCCAAAATCCTAATTTCACATAACCTCACAGGCATCAGTGGAATAATTTTTGTTTGATAACATGGTTCTAACTTTCTAGGTCAAATATGATTTGAGCAAGGGGGAATTCAGTTCAGAGTTCAGAGGGAATTAAACGCCATTTTTTGTTTCTCATGATAACTAGTTCATTAAGAATCTAATTTCTGTCATCTGAGTTTGTCTAAGATTTTTTTTCCCCTCTAGTGCACTGAGGGCTTCAAAGTTGGAATGGATGTCAAGTACACCAAGGTAACCTGAAGCACTAACAGCCATTGGCATTTGATTTCATCAGTCTTGTCGCTTCATTTTGCAGAAGAAAGTTGACCCATGGCCTGAAAGCCTCATGTTCCTCTGTACATGGGCGAGAGAAGCCGGCACCGTAGTGAAGTGGTGGGACACGGTGCCTGCAGCGCCCCAGGCACCTGGCCGGCTGCAGTCCTCGGAGCCTGCAAGGAGGACGAGCCACGCGCTTCTGCCCACACCTCGTGTTTTGTGCCTGTGTGAAACGAGAACAAAGAGATTCTCGGCTCTGCAGCAAGTTCCTGGCRTACAGGTGCCTGAATGCACATGTTCCTTGTTGAGCTGGAGTTTTTCCAGGCAGAGATTCCCGTCAGCTGTTGCACAGATGTTGCTGTCGGGGTGGTGGCACACAGGCAGCCTCAACAAGCCACATGCAGGAAGCTTCTTGTCTGCTTGGCTTGAGTGTGGCTGCTCTAATGGGCTCCCTTCAACACTCTGCAACCTGACCAAGAGCACCATGATCTCGGTTTCCAGAGCTTCGAGGGCACCTCTTTGCAGGTGAGGTCTGGTGGGTTTACAGCAACTGCTCCTGGGCTGGGGATAGAGACCTTGAACTCCCTTCTGCTCCCTCCTGCGTCCCTGGCAGGGGCTGAGAAGGTCCCCCCACTTCAGCTCTGGTCCCTGCTGTGCATGGCAGGTAATCGTGCAAAGGTATTTTTGACTTTGTGCCCTCGGTGAGAGAAATTATCACCAGATATGGAGAGGGAAGAATGACTCTGGCAATTCTGTCATGAATTCTGTCATCCTGAACCAAACAAGGTGCCCACAAAATCAGACAAAGCTTATTCAAATCAGAATTACTGTAAYTGAGCCCAGCCATTTCTCACTGTTCTTCACCTTGCTGTAATTCTAAATACTGCTATAACTTAAATGTAACTCCCTTTYTTTGTTGGTTCTATGCACACCTATAATAGAGTGGATTTATATGTAGTATTTACATAATTTTACGTTTTACCTTTTCATATGTGCACATACCTTTTCATAAAAACGCACATTTTTATATATGGACACACATATATATATAATGCAGTGATCTAAACCTTCAAAAAAAAAAAACCTTTAGAAGTAGAATAAAATCAGTAATTTATAGCTTTTCTGGAAGCCTAATGTGAGGATGTCCCTGAATACGTAGGACACAGATGTCCTACGTATTCAGGGGTACACAGATAGATCAGATGTGCAGATCTGTGACATCAGCTTAGCTATTTTGAGTATAGAGAAAATRTCTTCTGATAAAGTTATGAACTACTTTTGAATGATGACCAATGCTACTACAAATTCAGAAATGGCTTGTTGAGTATAATAGCCTGTGATAAACATTTTGATTACAGACAGTGTCACTTCACTGCGGTTCAGATCTTTGCACTTTTCTTAAGAGTCCTGAATTGGAAAGGATAKGCAGAGCGCACTTTGGTAACATTACTGGGTTTCCATTTTTTTTGTTAACTAAAAACCAGCCTCAAATGGGGATCGAGATCCATCTAGGTGTATGCCTTTGTGCACACGCTGTAACCACCATTTTATCTGATATTTTAACAACCTGTAAATTCTCCCTCGCATCCAGAGCTATCCCTAGGGAGCTCCCGTCCGGCGCCCACGCAGGGCTGCCATGGTGACAAGTGCCTGGGCGATGTTTGTGCTGCCGGCATCGGCGCCGTATGGGGACCCCGAGGCTGGGCCGGCACCAGCTGCTGCTCGGGCCAAAGCTGCTCAGCTGGGGAAGCTACTCGAGCGTTGCAGGGCTGCTCCCCGGCACAACGCGTCCGCCTGTGCCGAGGTCTGTGCTCGAGCCCCCAAAGACGTCGTTATTGCCATGGCTACCTCGGGTACCAGCAGATAGGCGATCAATATGTTTAATGTTGACAGGGCGGTGGTTGGTGCTCTGATAGGGAAGTGAATTCAAACCTTCATAAAACCCTGATGGGTATTGCAGATGTGCCCCCAAAGCTTTCTGTAGTCACCCAGGCCCACTAGTGGCAGAAGCTTTGCTGAATGCCACGAGTACTTGAATACATCCACCAGACAAAATCCTACACGATTTTGCTGAGTCTTAATCAACTGAAAAACATCTTCATGATTGCCACAGAGAAATATGCCAGCTGGAGTTGGATGGTCTTTTTTTTTTTTTTTTTCCCCTCTCCAAATAGCACAGTAATCAACAGGGCATTGGAGTTCATGAATATTTTCCAGGGCCTCATCCATCTTCTCTTGTTCTCAGCCATGAGATTATACCCAATGACAGAGCACTGAGGTGAACAAGAGCTTGGTTCCGTGGCTGAGAGTCTCAAAACAGTTGCCCCTTCCAGCACATCGTGGTCAGGTGATAAAAAAGTGAGTTACTTTTTTGTCCAAGTACTAAAGGAGTCAAATTACCCTTTTCTCCTGTGCTTTTTATGCTCTGGATGATGACAAGGTCACAAGCTGATATATTTATCTACCTGGTGTCTCTTTCATGTCTACACATCAGCCACTCAAACAGTTAACAGGGGCCATGCCAGCACCCAGACACGTGGTTCATGTGTCAGAATTTTAGAGTTCATTAGCTGGCAAAGAAAAAAAAAAAGCTTTGGCTGTCAGTGCCAATATAGCAACCAGACRCACAATGTTTTATCAATATTTTTATAATATTATTTCCAGCCAGAGAGCTTATTCAAAATCTTTCACTGGAAGAGGATTCTAGCTTAGTAATAAAATACCATCTATGTGAGAGTGATTTTTCTGAGCTTGCTTGAAAAGTTAATCAAGACTTGCTTTGCAAGTGCCAAATCAGCTGTTACTGCTTGCCTTGTACAAGAACTTCACAGACCATCCTGAGCTCCTCTTGTGCGAAGCGATCATGGCACAGCTTCCTCTGGGAATGGAGGATACGGTGCAGCTTTCCCTGTGCTGGTCACACAGATGGCAGTGGTCACATCTCCAGGTCCAGACAGTGCTCATTACCAGAGCACGTCTCCAAAACAAATTCCCACAAGAATCTTTTGACAAGTGCTAGACTATCCAGCATCAAGGACTGCTAAGATACCACTTAATTCTATGCACCGATGTCTGCTGCTCTGTCCTTGCTGCTGTGAGAGCCCCCAGAGGTGCCACCCCACTTTATTTTCTGTCTGAAAAATCAACATATCCACTACCATTCTTTCTGAGATTATTTCAGAGATACTGAATGCCCATGACCAATGATCAGGTGCTTCCCTTTGGCAACTTACCTGTCTACAAGAGAAGATTATAATGACCTGCTGCTTTCAGCCAGCCTGCTGAAGTTAAGCACTTGAGTTCTCTGGAAGATGACTGGATTAAAGGTAGGCTAAATACAGGCTGATATGCAGAGTAAGGTTTCTTACACGCAGTAAGGCTAGAGGGCAGCTTTCTGTTTTCATTTGGCTTTTAAATCATACATTTCATTTTTAATAATACTGTAGAACCATAAAAGTATTGTTAATGAGAGGCAGCATAATAAGCATTTTGCACTGAAAATAATAATCCTTTTTCCTTAGAAATACTCAAGCTCTTTAAGCTGTAGAATACCTCATAAGATATTTAACTCAATATCTGAACTTGGACTATTGACATCCACCTTAAAATTTTAAACACCATAAAAAATGAACCACAAATAAATCCAAATACTGAAGAATACACGGACACAGCAAGCGGGAAGATRATAGTTAAACAAGTAAGTACTCTGCTAATCATAGCAAAAAGATACCACAATAATACAAGGTGAAATAACCAGAAAGCAAATAGAACACACCATTGATAGAGTTYTTCATTATCTAGTATGGCTTTTAATGGAGGAACCTGCCTGTGTGTCATTGCTCTTATCTCACAAAAGGCAGTAGGCACGCACTGTAAAAAACAGTCTCTTCATTTTCTGCTTGAAAAGATCATTGTAAAATTAAAAAAAAAAAAAAAAGTGTCAGGGAGTGGAGGTCATGCTGATTTATTGGCAATTAAATCTGCAGGATTTCTGCACTCCTTTCAAAACAAAGTATCTCTGGGTAATTCAGCCTGGCAGATTACATGGTGGGCTATCACTATAATGCATGAATCTTTCTGTTTGTGCACAACAGAAACAATTGACTTGGTCTTATTTAGGAAATTGCTACTATTTTCTGCAAAGTGCTTTTGTTTCCCATAAGGAGATGGAGGTAAGTTAGCTCTTAAATGCAAAATTCCCTCCAATAGTGTAAATGCCACTTTTACTCATCCATTGTGGAATGCAGAAAGTGTACAGATAAACTTACCTCTGATTAAGTATAAAGTCATGTCCTTAAGTGCCATAGGTAAACTGGCAAAATCTTCACTGTGTTTCAGTAGAACCACCCTCAAACTGGTGTAGGCTTGCAGCATTTGCTAAACTAGGAAAAGCTAAACCAAAGAACCAAATGCAAGTATAATCTCTGTTCCCACCACAAGTGCTTCCCAGTGTGGCAATAATGGCAAACTCTTTCTAATCTAGATACCTAAGCTGAAGCTGATTACAAAGCTAACAAGTTATCTAATGTTATAGAATCTTAATGTTTTCATGGTGCCTTCATACGTGTTTTTAAGTTCTTGGCCATGCAACATGCAGTGCAGGAGGAGCAAACACCAAATCAGCACTGAATGTCTTTCCAGATGTATGTTGCCTCTGCTTGTATCATTGGTAAAGCATCTAATTATTAATTTTAGCAGAGAATATTGCCCCTAAAACTTCTTATAGTCACTTGACTGTCTGAGCTTCAGAGATCTTCAGAGGTGAAGACTGGATCTCAAAAGATGTTGACAGATCTTCAGTCTTAGGAAGTACTTGTAAGGAGGGAAAGGAGAGAGCATATCCAACTACAAGGAGGCCCTCTCTTGGGCAAGTAGGAGATCGGAGAAATGCTGGTGTGGCAGCAGGAGAGCAAACCAGGAGACACTCACAGACAAAAATAGCTCCCACACAATGACTTTCTGCTTGCGAAGTAGACTGACGTGCCAACCTGGAAAAATAGCAAGTCCCTTTGAAGTTCCTACTTCAAACGAGTCATCAATGCAAATCTAAGCTCTAGAAGAAGCAGGTATCCAAATGCTGCTGGACCAGCATTTCTCTCCCAGCAAGAAGGGATGTAAATCTCTGGGCAGGAACAAAGTCTAGCCACATCCTGASAATGCCCATTTGCTTTGCTGCTTTGGAGGAGGCAACACTGTTCCTAGGCGGTCTAACCTGACAAGCTCTTCTTTTGCTGCCTTCCCACAAAATGCTGTACTGGTTGGACTTCACTGGCATCAAAGGGCCTGTGGTTTCATGATGCAAAGCGCTGAGGCAGTACAAACCTGGGCTGAGAGTTCATTCCTGTTCCAGAAATCTTAGCGCTTGGGCTCTCTGCCTGCTCTGGTATTGCATGGCCATGTCACTGCACTGCTAATATTAGTCCCAGTGCTTTTTAGGAGCTCCCTTCTTGCCCTTTCCAGCTCTCTGTACTCCTAGGTCACAGATATTCCTGTGTCCTGCTGCCTTCTCTTCTGTGCAGSTCTCCTGGGACAGTGTTTCCTTCGCTGGACATGGATACTGTCAAATCTCAGGATTAGCCCCATCCCTCAGAGAGCAGCTTGCCTCCACATTTGGCACCTGGACTGACAGCCCAACAGCCTTGCAGACCTGAGCCCAGAGCCAAGCCGGGCCCAAACGAGAGCCAGCTCTGCCATGTGCCATGATCAGCTGCTCCTTTGTACCCTGCTCCAGACTGCAAGGATTTGCTGGGCTTACGAGAAGCTTCAGCCTGGCAGGCCCTCGATGGCAGCACACGGGGCTGCCAAGTCACCATTTCTGTGCCACAAGCGCCCSGACCGCTGCACTGAGCAGGTTGCCACGGCCCTGTGCAAGAAARGCATCTTTGAGGCCTGTGACTGCGTTCATGTTTGTGCCGCTCTCCTGGCGGCCTGCCAGGCTCGTGTGTGTCGCTCGGCCCCGCGCTGGCCGAGCTCTGCCCTGCCACGGCCCGCGTCTCCCTGGCCCACCCTGCTGGCCCCGCTGGGGCTCAGGGTGTGCGCAGTGCCTCGGCACACACACCAGCGGGGACCTGCTCCCCATTTCAGTCCTGCCCTCTGCTTACGGAAGATGATTTATCCCACCTGAACCAGTTCCCATGTGTGATGAGGCCCGATGATGGCCTGCTCTACCTAGGAAAATTCCTATCCCAGGATACACACATGCCATCTACCAACAACGCTTCAGATGAAGTTAGGGGAGAAGGTCTGGACTGGGAACTTGACGTGGGAGAGGTGGAAAGGCCCATTTTCTGTCTAGAGAAAACTAAACTTTTTTTTTTTTTTTTTTTCTCTCCCCTCAAGCTTCGCTGCCTGTGGTGGAGCCAAGCTAATGAGAGGTGTGATTGTGCCCGGAGGCTGCAAGGGTGGCTCGCCCGTGATGGCAGAAGCTGTGCAGGAACCTGGAAGGGGGAGCTGCAGCGATGAGAGGCCTTGGCAACGCGGACGTGACTTGTCCTTGGGCGGGCAGCGCGTTCGAGCAGTGCCCTGGAGCAGGGCCAGCAGGCAGCAGCAGTCCCTGCTGGGCTGCCTTGGTGCTGGGCTGGAGCTGCGGCAAGGGACAAGCGAATGAGGGACGGTAGAGGGCATCTCCTGGGGCTTCCCCACTCAGCYTCTGCAGTCCCTCTTCTCCATAGCTCCTTCGGCCCCCCAAAAGGAACACCTCTTAGGCTTAATCTGCTGAAGACAAGCTCCAGGGAACAATGCTTTAATACCTTTGGTCTAAAATTTCTAGGCAAGCAGCTTTTGGGGATTTTGCATGAAACAGTCCGGCATCTTCTGAGCTTTGGCTCCTCAGGTTCTCAAAGGTGGGTAACTGAGCTGCAGAATGACCCAGGTGGCCTTGGCTCTGTTTGATATTGTTGCTCCCAGCCTTCCAGCATCTGTTCCCTCTTGCTCTCACAAATACTGTGCGGGGTTTAGCAGGCAAACTGGACCATTGTAAGGAGGCAGAGATCAAACTCAGAGCTAAAACCAAACAAGGGAACAAACACTTACTCCTCAGTCATGCAGCAGCTGCCCAGAGTCCTTGGGCATCCTGATGCCTGTTGAGTTTGGTACTGACCGGCTTCCGGAGCCAGTACGGACACAGGCAGATAGCCTGGCAAATACCAGGAGTGCCAGAACTGGGTCAACGCTGGATGCCACAGCACTGCACACATCAGCTGCTGCAGAAATGCAACCGTAATATACGTTATTAGAAGATACAGAAGTGGCCAAATATTGGGTTGAATATCATTGGAAGCAGAAAGCCGAAGCCTTTCTGAGCAGACCTAGGCCAATGTTTACTTGCCTGCCCCTTTCCAAGCATCTCCACTGCAGCCCCTTGTAGACATATTTCATTTTCACCTTTTTTTTTTAACCAAATGGAAATCCAAAGTACAAGTGTTTTTGTAAATGTTTCCATGAGGGGGCTGTCACTTCAGTTCAAGGCACTTTCTGTTTTTTTCTTTCAGGTTTATGTTTTTGTTTTATACATTTTTTTCTACCGATAAAATAAAAGACCTGAGAGGGCATAAGTTCCTGCTGAAGTTTGCTTGTATTTGTGAAGGGTAATGTCTGTGGGCAGCTTGGCTATAAAGGTCAGGACTTAAATGTAATCAAGCAACAAGTAGGYGAGAACGGCTGCCCCTGCCAGTGGCCCATTCTCCTGGAGCCACAGAGCTTTCGTGGAACATATTGAAAGCAAGGGGATATGAAAGTTTTTGAGTGCAAAGGGTTTGCTTTCTTGAAGGTAGCCAAGAAGCTGGATAAAAGGCAAATCCAYACCCTAGATGTAAAAAGACAAACAACAATCAGGAATGAGGACAAAAGATACCCTGTGTCAGGGGAGTGAGAATAGGTGCAAATCCTGCCTGTACTGCAAACAGGGCCACAGCACAGGTCTGCTAGGAGAAATGCACYGACCTGCTGTAACCAGAGCTGCACTATGAAGTACATGTCATGCCTTCTGTTTCAGTGTGTTTGCCTCTCTGTTTCACAGAACCCCCTTTTTTATTTCTTAAATGGGTCTTTTACCACACATGATGTCATGACGTCAATTGGAGACAGTGGAGAAATGCATCAGTCTGCAGAAATGCTGGTAAGGATTACTTCAGCTACAACCCAAGCACCCAACTCACCCAAGCACCCAACTCACCCAATCTCCTTGATTTAAATTACTAACTCAATAATAGCTTGTGCTTTATACCAGTCCTCTGCTTTGGACTCCTAACCTTTTGGACCTCTTTTTTTGTTCTCAAATTGCAGTGCATAATTTCTTGGACTGTGCAGGACCAGTAATTTAGGCAAAAGATCCCGTTCCTGGCAAAGTTTTGTCGGTATCAGCAGCTCCAGTTCTATTTTTTATGGGTTTGGAATAAAAGGTGCCTTGAATGTTAGATGGGTTTAGCAATACATAATTAATGTAAGTGCACTTCCACTGTGTGTTAAGAGGGTAGAGAGGTCCCAGATAACTTCTGAACCTGTAAAAAATGGATAAAATGAATCATAATTAATTCAATCAGTGGAAATTAGATAGGGTCAAAATAAAAGTTTCTGAAATCCTAGCCAGTTACTCTGGCCAAAAGCGTGTAGTTGAACTTTGTTTCTGAATCTGGTCCTGCTTTATGACACAGCGGAAAAAATCTATATATGCTGCTGGTTGGACTGAGCCTCAGTGCAGCTGGATTTGATCTTGGCTCCTTGAGAGAAAATGTTCTCTGTCTGTTATAATCCTGGACCTGATTCATCCTCACACTGAAAACAACCCAAGAGGTTATTCTCCGAATGTCAAAGTATTTCAAATTGAGATACTCGTTTCAACTAATGTGGAGCAGGAGACTTTCCTTGAAATACATTCCTGTATTACCTTCTAAATAAAAATACTGCAGTGCATCAGAAGCAGATGAAAGCCAAGTGTCCTTCAGAAAGCAAGGAAACCTTGTGGAGGATGGATAAACTTTCTTTTTTTTAGTGAATGCCAGATTGGATGTGGAATGCCAAATTTCTTCCTGTTTTCTGAGAATGAGTTCCCAGATCCTATTATTATGTTATAAAAGTGTAAGTGTACCCAGCACTGTAAACTCTGCTTAAACAAACAGCAAAATTCTTGCCCTGAAAAGCTTAAAGCTGAAGGCACGAGTGGATACAATGCAGTACAACACAGAGCAAACACAGTGGCGTGTGGTCTTTACAGCCGGGATCCCTATTCTTTGTCAAGTGGACAAGAAAAAAAATAAAGCAGATTTAATCTCTTGGAAAAGAAAGTCCTTCATTCTGTGAAAAATGTTCTTTGGTGGAAAAAAAAAAGAGAAAATACAAGTAAATACACAGGCAATTGTGGATCGGCAAGACGAGGGAAAAAGGAAGTAAAACTTGAAAGAGGATTTACATTTTTAAATGTGCTGTTTCTGTACTTTTGGGGAAACGCTTATGTGACTTTACTGGAAATACTCTTTTTGTTGTTGTTTTCCCAGCAGGTTGGTCTCCCTGACTGGCGGGGCCAGAATCCCGGTGTGCTGGGCGCTCCGCGCGGCACGGCACGCGCTCCGGGCACGGCTCCTCTCCCGTCAGATAGTGCTTTTCCAGGAAGGGGCTCGCCCGGCGTCATGTGCCGGGGGCACCAGGGATGCTCACAAACCGCCTCCGTGGCGGGACGGCCTCGGCCCCACGCGCGTCGCGGGCCCCGTGCCGCGATGGCTGCAGCCCCATGGCGGGATGCGCCATGGCCCCCATGGCGGGATGTGCTGTGGGGCCCATGGGAGGACCCCAGCGCAGGGCAGGGCCGCAGCTCCCACCGCAGCAGGACGTGCCCCACAGAGGGCTGGTGTCGCGGGSCCCACGGAGGCCAGGGCCGCGCGGCGGGGCAGCGGGGCGGCTCGCGGGCCCCGCGGCCATGGGGCGCGGGCGGCTCCCCGCCCTCGCCGCGGGGCCGGGCCGGGCCGGGCGGCGGAGGGCGGAGAGGCCGCGGCGGGAGGCGGGCTGGCGGCTCGGGCGCCTCGTTGCTATGGGGAGGCGGGGAGGGAGGCGCCGCCGCCGCCGCCGCTGCGCAGGGAGCAGCAGCTGCTGCGCCCTGACACATCCCCCCGCTGCCATATTGTGCGCGCCGCGGCCGCGCGGCTCCATGAGCGCGGTGAGTGCCGGCCGCGCCGCCGCCGCGCTGCCCTCCGTATTGACATTATTTGGCGGGGGCGGGGGGAGAAAACAGAAAAGAAAGAAAGAAGGAAGAAAGGAAGGAGCCGCCGCTGTGAACGGGGCGGGACGCGCGGCGCTGCCTGAGCGCGTCCCGCCCGGGGGGTCAGGGCGGCCGCCGCCTCCGCGCGTGGGCGGCGGGGAGGAGGAGGAGGAGGGGGAAGAAGGGGCCGGGGGTGGCGGCGCGAGAGGAGCGAGGGAAGGGGCCCGCGGAGCGGTGAGGGACAATGCGCGGGAGCGCGCCGGGCCGTCGCGCGGCTGCAGAGCGGGGCCTGCCCGCCGAGCGGCCGGAGCGGGGCCGGGCCG